TTTGACTCGCATGGTATAAGTTGATTTCCTTTTCATGCAGATTCCGGAAACAGGAAAGTGGTCATGTTTTTGGATGGGTTCTGATTGGTGAATGTTCTGTCTACTCCGGATAGTTGCAAATATACGTCACCTGAGATCCATACTAAAGCATGCTAAAGCCATTTGCAGCATCCAAGGATCCTACAACTCTAATTCATGTTAACTCTTGACGAATTACAGCCCCCAGCCCCCCCACCGGCCTCGGATCGAAAGACCCCTACTACTTTAAAGTAATTGATTGGTGTTGTTCATTGCTCTTTCGACTGATCTTTCGTCCACGGTGAATTGGATCGATGGCGTCGTGCTTCTCCGGGCGTCTCTTCCGATGTCTCCGGGGCTCCACCCACGCTCCACCCTCCGCCCATCTGAACACCGCTCGCTCGTCGACCCATGCCGATGTCTACCGCCGATCGATCGTCCCCGATGCGTTCACACCGAGCCCCCGGCGCCCACGAACTCCCCGCAGCGGCCATTCACCACCTTCCTCACCGGCGCGCGCGGTGGCGGCGCTGTTTCCGCCGTGTCTGCTGGGTGTCCCGAAGAGGAACCGTCCTTTTTTGTGGCACAAGTAGAAAACTGGTGGGCCGGGCCTTGTAACAAAAAGGAAAAGACAGACTGGTTGGTGGTTTCAACTCATGTTGAAAATACTAGTCAGTGGATTCGATCATCATCCGAATATAAAGGTTGAAACATGAAACTAAAAATATCTGGAATCTGAAACATTCTGAAACCACATTGAACCACCATATGGGGAGTGAGGATTCCTTGAAAGCGGAATGTAGCATGAGTACAGCATCAGCATGAGTCATCAGGCCAACAAAGCAAAACGATCCAAAAGCATTCCAGCCGCTGTTGTTACCATCCTTTACACCGCCCTGCCTGGCGGCCCGGCAGGAAAATCTCCATCCAAGGTCCAACGGCCTACTTCTCGGTACGAATGTCAGGGCCATGGTGAAAACCCCCGTGTCACACCTTCTGTGTCACGTCCGGTGCTTCAGGTGCTTCAGGTCGTCGGTCCCTGGGCTCTGAGACTCCGGTGGTCCATCGCAGTGCCGGTGCCGGTCCGTCCGGTCGTCCCGTCCCTCTTCCGCCCAGGAACACGAATGCATCGCTCCAGGCGCCCGGAAGCGAGCTGAGGACCTGGGCGTCGACACACGGCGCCAGCTCCGCGCGTGGCACGCGCAGCATCACCGCGGAGGCTGGAGCAGCTCCAGATGAGCCGGATGGGCGGCGTTTCAGCGGAGGCACCGTCAGTGGCTTCGGCCGTTGCATCTGGGTGTTGATTCTTGGGAGACCCACTGGCCGCAGCGCCTGGGTAGACCCACTGGCCCTGGTCGATTTCCCAAAACGGATCCTAGGGGGTTCGGAACACCTAGCCTGGCCTCCCTCTTCTAGTGCAATCTAAATCCGGCCACGTCCCGGCCAGGTCCCGTCTCACGAGGTGGCTGGCACCATTGGAGCTTCTGAAGGGTTCCTCTCTAAGACCGATGAGATTCTCGTCTCGAGACCTGACATTGACGGGTCAATCTCGGGGTCTTATAGTCTTAGTAATCCCTCCAAACCCCAGGAGTACTCAAAAGACCATGCCAAACACGACCAGGTCGTCTGTCGCCTGGGAGCATAAGCGATGAAAACCGACCAGCTGGGGTGGTTGATTTCAGTGGTATTCATCGGTCAATGTTCCAGTCCCACGACTGCCGCGTGACGGGGCATGACTTCAAACTGTCTGAAAGGAAAGCCGCTGAGACCATGGACGAACGAGTTCGCGCCGCCGGGAGTTTCGCTTCATGGGGACCATCTAGTGACGTTTTGGCCGGCCGGCTGGGGCGATTGATGTCAGGGGTTGGCGTATTTTCCTGGATCTTCCAACTGTGCAACATGTCTGCCAAACTTCATCTATAATACCAGGCCAAGTTAGGCAGAAGTTTTGCACAGTTGGAAGATCCAGGCGGTCACTTCTAGGGTCGCCATTCCAGTCCAGTCACCAGCCAAATCATCTGCGTCCTGCACCAGTCCGCGCCAGATCAGAAGAACCCTCTGCATCCTGCACTTCCATTTCGGTGCGCGTTAGGAGCGGAGTGCTGAAGGTCCTTCGAATTCAAACAAGGCACCGACCCGATTTTTCAGCAGGTAGCTGCAGTTCACAAAAACAACACCCCCAGCGAAAAATTGTCAAACTCAAGGCGTGGACCTGACCAGTTCAGAAGTTCAAGATACATCTCCTGTCTCAAAAAGAATTGGACATACCAGTGCTCTGAAATACAACAAATTAAACTGGTGATGGCATGTGATGGCTCTCTATTTACAAGCTCAGAGAAGGTGGCTGCGGCCAGCGGGTTATTTTGTCGCAGAGACGCTTCTCGTCAAGGTCGACACGCTGGAGGAACCAGCGCCATAGTATCAATAAATGTGTTTAAGGTAAAATCTGCAGGAAACCCATAGGTTTGAATGGGAAAACCATGCTTTCCCGTAGATGTTGCATTAAAACCCATTGATAATTGCAATATTGCGTGCATCAATTACTATCAATTGGTGTTGCCACGATCTTACGTAGCAGTTTTCCCCAGTACCCCCCCACCTTCAAAGCTACCAGCGAGGCTCTTTTGTGGAAATCTCGTCTATCCATGCCCGGTGTCCAAACATGCCCAAACAATCCAATGTAATGTAGATCTATTGAACCACCTCTTCATATATGGGCAGTTTATTACTCCACCATCGCGCACGAAGTCGAGAGAGACGCGCGCCCTCCAAACCCACTCTGGAGTTCGGCAAAGGGGTGAAAGGATGAGATGCACCGAATGATTGCACCGGTCGAACAGAGTCCCACGTCGAAATACCACGGCCTGCACCATCATGAGTCTACATTATGGAATAACATTATATGTATTGGATAGATTTGCCTACATTGATACTATTTCAACACTTTTCAACCCCCCAAGTGATCTGTAATTAGATAAAACCATGTGTCTGCGGTGTGTCCCAAAACCCGCCTCCGCTTCACACCGCCTCCCTTTTTTGACGTTCCGAAAGCGGCGTTCGTGCCGCGGATGCGCCGCGATCGCCCGCCTCCGATTCGCACGCCCCGGAAGGGAGGTGGATCGCGGGGAGGGGGGCGGAGGGCGTAGGACTAAAGGAGCTGATCCTTAAAGAACGGATTTGCTGCAAAGCCCGCCTCACGATGTGTCCTATGTCTGTCTATTTTGGTTCGTTCGGCTCCGCCAAAGACTTTCAATGTTGGATTGTTGTTGATGTCCTTCTATTTATATATCTATAATATATATATATAACAATCAGCCCCTAGATGATTGATGATCTTACAGTGATAGTCTTTCTTTCGCCCCTCCCTGGTTGTTCTTTTCGATTCGATGAGTATCCTTGATGCCCTGTCTAATCTCCCGTACATGTTCCCTTGGGTGTCTTACATGAAACGGGGTGTCTTGGATGAAACAGAGCCACCTCCGACCGCTTCGAACGATCCTGATCGGGTCCACGTGGCTTCGTTTCGCAGGGTCCCACGGACGGGGGGGCTTTCTTCTTCGTGGAACGGTGTGGCTTCGGGGTTCGCGTCGGATGATGCAGAAACGTGGTTCACGTCGGATTGGCTCCCTGGAACGTCCGGTTTGGGTGAAGTGGAGTGGCGAAAACCACCGGTTTGGGTCGTGGATTTCATGGTCTTCCGAATCTCGGGGCTATGACATCCACGTAACCATGTTAGTTCCAGTTAGAGTGGATTGAGAGGTTCGATGGCACAAGTTACACCAAGTTAGGTGGTTTAGTCGGTGGACCCCTATATAAATATAAAAGACATCTTGGGGTGCCAGTGCCATCTCACTGTATATAAATCCCCACCACGGCAGATGTTTATATATGAGATTGACTTTTTGACGATGTTTGATGTCCGTCTACTTGGTTTTAAGCCCTTGATTTCTGTCTATGTTGGGTTCACTTCTGGCAGCACCCCCCAAAGGGCATGGTGCGTATCAAAGCGGGGAGCAAGAGGTGACATTGAGTTTCACAGATCGCCAGGGGTGTTGGGTTCCCTCTTGTTGGGTCACTGTTCTTGAGGGATCTTTGGAAAGGAATGGAAGACCAAAAAAGCGTGAATCACGGACACTCTTACCTTCCAGAAACGATTTAGACTCCTTCTCGAAGGGTTGCCTTTTAATGTACGAGTATGGCTTGTCAGGCCCCAACATGGACGTGGCTAAAAGTTATATAAGACCCAATCAACCATACTTTTGTTGGTCTATTGTCTCTTTTGCCAGTGGGTCTGTTTTTCTTTTTGCCACTTCCACAGTTCAAAGTGCTCTTGTCTGTGGGAGAAATGAGCAAGCACTCAAAGCCAACCCGTTAGGCCATTGTTGTCTTTTGGTGAAAACATGCGCTGAAGAGCTAACTTGTTGGGTTCAGCAAATCCGAGCAAGCCTGGCACAAGGTGGGGAGGTTCTGTTTACCGGCCTCTCTTCTTACACCTTACTCTTGATACTTAACAAAATCAAAGACTCCTGACCCCCAGCTACAATCGAACTGCCACCAGTTGCTCGATCAGCTGCCCTTGACGACCCCCCCAAAACTTAACCATCCCCAAATGGGGCACCTGAGGGGGGTGGGGTATCTACGCCAACATAACCCAGCTCCGTCTCCGCGTAGTGACGTGCTCCTTGGGAGGGTCTGAGTCCAGGCGGAGCATGGGCTACTTAGGGGGCCCCCCGGGGACCCCAGGATTTCAACCACGATTGATTGAAGAGCCTTGGCTGAACAACCATGCTCTTACCGGACGGAATTTAGACAGAAAGAGGGTCAATCGAGCTCTTTGAATGATCCTAGAATGCTAGGGTAGGAGCACTTGGATGTGTTTTCTTGAATATGTGTGATATTGATCAATCCTTCAATTGCCCCAGGGATTTCACAGGTGTTGCCTTTGACAATCAGAACCTCGAGATTCTACAGCTGCTTTCCACTCAGTCGACCCACTTGGTGAGGAAGTTGCTGGACTTCAAGGCTGCATCCACCTGGGAGCTGCTCATGGACTTGTACTTGGAGAGGTCCTCACGGTGCTCAGAGCTGCCGAAGTAGAATTCATTTGGACGATGCAGCCCATCAAAGGGCCTTTGGAGAGCTGGAAGTGGAGCTAGGATGAGCTTGGCAAATGTCTAACAAAAGGATTCTTGCCCTCTTGCACTCTCCTTTTTCAGCCAAACAAAACGCTAACACCCATGTATTTGTCATGATATCCTTCTCTTGGGCCAACCTGTTCCCACCTGCCCTCGTGTTCAAGAAACACCGACCTCCCCGGCCACCTCTTTGGGTGTGTTTTTCGGTCCTTCGAGTTCTCCCACTCGAAGAACTTGATGCCGTTCCTGATGTCGCCAGGTCGGTCGAGTCGGGGTCACCGAGCGGCGTCCATCCGAGCCGAGCCGAGCGTCGGAAGAACCAGGGTCGCGAGCGGAGCGGAGCGGGTGAACCTGTCCGAAGTCCGAAGAGGACCAGTTTGTGGCCTGAGACGCAGCCTGGTGCCGACGTCCGTCTCGTGTGGGGGCGCTTCGGGGTCACAGCGGAGCTGACTGACAGACGGGTCACCATCTGGGAGAGCATTTGTTGGGGGGGCGCTCCTACCACCGGGATGCTTCACTATGGGGTATGCTTCGAAGGCATGCTTCTCCTAAGTCGAACATCCCAACTCTACATAAACTGGACACATTTAAGAAAGAAAACAGTCCAACAGACAGACAGACTGACTCACTCACTCACAGACTGACTCATTGACAAACTGACTGTCACCATCACCATGCATCCTTCTCAGCCCCGGAACTGAATGCGCCAGGCCGGACTTCACCGGGTGGACGTGTCCGCCCGAGCAACTGAGAGTTATGAGTGGAGGACCTGGAGGAAGAAAATCTGAGAAGCGGGTTCAGAGGTTCAATGGCACAAGTGACCCAAAGTTGGGTGGTTTAGTGGACCCCCATCTAAAACGACATGTAGGGGTGCCAGTGCCATCTATTCCGGGTCCAGCCGCCGTATTTTTGGAACCACCCTGAAGCAGCTGACCCGACAGGAATCCGTCCAACTGCATCGTTCGGTGCTCCAAAAAACCTCCGTCGATGGCGGGACCGACACACACATCGCACGTCTCCAAGCGCCAAGCTTCTTGGTGACCGCCTCACGGCCAAAGTGGCAGTAGGCGGCGGTCTCTTGGTACTTGGGCTCGCGCAGGGCCAAGGACTGTGCGATGGCACCAGGACGGCAGTCGAACTCAATCCTGGGTGGAATTCAACATTTTGCAACATGACTTGACCAAATTCAAGCCAATGTCGGAAGCTATGTCAAACACTGCTGCGGGCATATTACTAGTAGTTCGCAGCAAATGTCAAATCTATCGCTGAGTGCCTCTATGGTTTTTGCTATCTGCCAAGTCTCTTCAGGATGTTGGTGATGTCATCCACAGTGAGGGA